TCTCCAAGCTGAATCTCCTCAAGGAAAAACTTCTGAACTGCTTCAGCATCTTTCAGATCAGGCAACTATAAACACACACAGTAAAATCAGCCCTTAAACACCAGCTAATAAAAAGTTAGCAGAAAATAATCTCAACTGAAATTTAACATGCACACAACCCTATTGTTACAGTGACACTGGCAAAAAAACAAGTGTCACCACTAAGTTAAATATACTCAGAATGCTTTTGAAAATCAGACTCAGGTCTTATAACACTACATCAAAAATCTGTAGAGAGACAGCCTGAAATATCTCTTCTCAGTTCATTAAGTACATCTTTTAGGAGCAAATATAAATTCTAAGGTGTATTATGTTTATAACAACTGTATTCCTTGCAATTGTTTAAGAGAAATCTTATATTTTCTTTCTGGATCCATTGGTAATAATGAAAAAGAAATAAAATACTTATTGCAAAACAATCTATCAAGTTCAGTTATAAGTGTATCCCATCAATAATTTTAAGTCTGAAAAGTCATTGTTCATATTACAAAGAGAGAAAACACCATCAAATCAGACAGTGAATGTTGTACTTTCTTATATAACTCCTCTATCTGACACAAAAAAGAAACAACCATACAATTACTTCTGAGCATTAAAAAAACCTAAAGACTGCATATTTGCAGGACTGTTTGTAATCCTGCAAATTTGTCTGTAAAACAAATCCTTAAGTAAATCTTACAAACAATACAAGTGAAACATCTTTCAAAACATCCCTGCATTATTGAACACAGTGTTACCTTGGAAAGTCCTGCTCTCTCTTTGGCAAGCTTCTGTTTCTTCCTTCCTGTAAGAATAAAAACATCTTTTATTTTCAATTTGCAATTAAAAAGCCCTTCAGCTTATAGTCTGAAACCATGAACAAATCAAAGTCCTTTTCCAAAGAAGAAACTGGTAATGGATTCCAAATACTGAAGACTGAGCAGAAGACTGCAACCCACTCACTACAACAGAGCATCATTCAGAGGTCTAATGAGGGCTGGCAGTAGCACCAGCCCAAAATGGCAACTCTTCTCCTGAGGGCTACAGCAAACAGCACAGCACACCTCCTGAACTGCAGGCACACAGAAGCAAAGAGAATTAGAGTAATAGAGGAATTATCCACATGGCTTCTAACAATTAGCCACAGAAGAACTGCCTGGAAATCAAGCTATCTAGTTTTGAACTGCATGGTGCACCACCAAGGAAGGGGAACTTCAGCAGGCGACAGCAGATACACACAGTGCACTTTCTCAGCTACTTTATAGCAAGACTTGGGAACTAGTTAATAAGTGGCAGCGTCTCACCATCCCTCAGCAAGAGCAATACTAAAGCATACATTTCTGAAACCTGAGGAAAGCAAACATTTACAGATGGAACAAACATTTACAGATTTAACTGCCTACCTAAAGGCAAAAAGCTGGTCTGCTACATGAAGTTGTACCACTTCAGCAAAACTAATGTAACTAAAATTAAAGTTGCTTTTAAAGCAGCTAGACAGGTATAAAAAGGTATCTTTATAGCAGCACTTCTCCGTACAAGAAAGAATAATTATACTAATTATACTGCCCATTTCCTTGGAATAATCATTTATGTAAATCTTCAGTTCATCAACTGAAATAGTTACACCACTAAAACCTCTGAATACAGCCTGTGGTTAAGCTGTCCTTCCACTCTTTGTCCTCAGCGTCTGCTCAGAAATCTCCTATACTGACAAAGAACAACTGTCACACAGCCCTGATTTTTCTTTTGATACAATTTTACAAGCTGGAAATACTTCCAAATTTGATCAGCAGTTTTACATGGTAATTAAAAATTTTCACTTGTCCACATGGTGAAGACAGTCAGGAATACTATTCCCTAGTACAGTGATAACCTAACATGTGGCATTTACTGACAAGATTGTGTCCTTTGCAGAAAGGGAGTTCACATTCTAACTAGATGGAACACCCTTTTACCTTAATACACCATCTTAATAACACTTAGCACCTAGATTTCTACAACTAACTGACCTGTGTATGTTAATTTGTACTATAGATGGAAAAACGTGTTAGATAGAACTGTAGTCTACTACAATTTTATAATTTTGGAGGGTTCCAATAGTAAAGAATTTCTCCCGAAAGTTAGTGCTTCAATTAGCTCGCTCCAACTTTTCAGAAGCATTAATTTGCACAGAACTTTAGCTTGCACTACTAGGCAAACAAGTTTTGATCATAGATAAAATTGTAAAGATTAAATTTAAAAAAAAAATAATATTTGAAATTATTTACTATCTAAACAAGCCACATTGCAGCTGTAGTGCATTCAGCAAAAACACCAAAAAGAAATACAGAGAGTAACAGCTTAACATGTGTACATCATTTTGAGGAGAAAATTGTGGGTTTTGGCATGACTATGATACCTTCTTCTTAAAATGTGATAAAAATTCACCAGGTTAAGCATTCTGAAATAAAGAACAAAAGACATGCTGGTCACTTGGACTAATGAAAGCTTTTGACCACTGATCATACGGATTTGAAATAATATACTTCAACCTGAAAATAGTGAAGGAATACAAAGAATCACCAAGATTTTAAAACTGAAAAATGATCTACCAAATCCTTCAAGCCTGACTACTACGGAACTTTGTTTTCATCTTCTTAATACTTTTTTTACAGGCTCTTAAAAAGTTTACTAGCTAAAACAAATTAAAAACTCAAGTAACTCTAAAGGATATTTATGAATTCTTCCCATAGTGGTTGAGAAGAATTACTAGTTTCAAAGTATCTTTGAAATAACAACCAAAAGTTACATTTGTAGTATGAAAAGCAAAAAAGCAATGGCTTTGAGGGGTAAAAAAACCTCAAAAATAAAAAAACAAACAAACCCCCCCCCAAGTTTGTTTTTTCTCAGGGACCTTCATGAAAATGAAAGAGTTCCTTCTATTCTAAAGAGATAATCACATTTTGAAAAGGGAAAGGCAATCTTTTTGAATCAGTGAATCTTTATTACCACAGAAATGCAGTGCATGCATCCAAAGCACAAAGCTGAACTGCAGCTGTCACAGTGCAGGTCCCCCAGGCACAGCTCTTGTACAGGGTACAAGTTCCAAAGGAGAACCAATGGATGACCTGTCCTGCTGGCATGGGTTGCAAAGGCCCCTGAGCAGCCCCAGCAGCTTCCCACAAAGGAGCAGAAAACCCAAAAAGCCATCTGTATTTTCAGCTCTCATCAGTGAATCTGCCTACTGCCCTCTCCTCTCACCAGGCAGAAATTCTGGCTGTCTCTGAACAAAAACATGTGTGTCTGTATTTTAAAGCAGAGCACTTCTGTTTTATTCATTCAAGAAGGCAAACAGTAAACATACCTGAACTATTTTATTAATAAAATACAGCCTGGGAAGCTCAGCACCTACACATGTTTATAGCATTGCTATCTTTTTTTCCCAAGACTAAATATGGACATGCCCCCCAAACTAGCAACAACAAGACCTAAAAAGCCACCCAATAAAAAAGTCCACCCACAAAACCTGCTAGGTAAGATTAAAACATGTGGAAAATCAAATACCAGTAGTTCTATACACCTTCCAGAAACTTCCAAGAAATCTTTTCCCCAGAAACCTAGATCTGCCCACCTCATTTTTATGGCATTTTTATGACAGGCCTTTGCAGTGTAAACTTTGGCCCAAACACAGCACACAGAGATGGCAAAAAACCCAACTGGTTCTTTGTTTTTAAGCATGTGCTTGACAAAATACAACAGGCAATCCACTGACACATTAGGTCTCTTGTCCTTCCCAAATTCTGGTGACACTGCATCACAAGAGGCTGAAAAAGGATCTTACCCTAAGGAGGTTACTGGAAAAGATGCGCTGCAAAGGTGGTTTCTCCAGCTTTCCATCCCACGCCCCCACTATTGCACAGCACATGGAGCATCTTTACATAAAGAACTGCAGCTGGCTGCTGCACTGAACCTTTCCTGGCCAAGTACTTTACAGCCCAAGCCTTCCTGGCTACCCAACAGTAAAAATGCTGTAATACCCCAATCCCTGGCACCACTGCTGAAGCATCCATACTGAATAACCTGTCACACTACCAAAACCAACCAAACCAAATTAACTAAACTTACAACTAAATGCAGACCAGTACATCACATGCAAGGACTGTAACTCCTACAATGAAGTCCCCCAAATGACAACTGTAACCTCCTACCAAACCAAAATGCATTTGTTTTCCACTTCAAAGTTAATGTCAATTCTTAATCAGAGCAGTTCTAAGGTTTATTCAGAACATGACCGGATAGAGGCTCAGATTATGGAAACGTGGAATCAAAAAATAATTTTTGGTGCTTCTGCAGTAACCTTACATAATTCAGTGCTTCTCCTGCTGCACATCTGGCATCATAGAAAAACCCCATGGCTGATTATGTTGCTGGAAATCAAAGTGTGCAAACCAAGCACATACCAGTTAACTGCACTCCAATTTCCCAATTAATGACTTGCACTGCAGGGAAAAAATGACTTGGAACACACACACACACAAGAGGTATGTGTGTGTATGCCCAAAATCCTACACACAGGAGCAAGGGCTTGAAGCTGAAATGTTTGACAGACATCACTTGCTGTGGAGGAAGTTTTGGAAAGCAGAATTAATGCACCACTAAGTGACAACAGTGGCCAGGCAAATCCAGTCCATGAAGGCAGAACCAAAGCTGTTAAACTACATTTTAATGCCATCAGGTAAATACTCATTTTTAACTAGTCTGGTTATTGACTTTTCCATCCATGAAACTGCTGATCACATCATGTTTACTTGCCAGGAAAATTTACCTTAATGATAACTTCTTATCTTCAGATTAGTTACCAAAGAAATAATATACATATTACCCTGACAGAAATAACTCAGTATAAAAAGTATCACCTTACTGCTTATGATTCATTTGTGTTCCTTCAGTACTCATGCCACAATTGCATTTAAAACCCTCACTGATTATTAGAAGGTTTAAATAAATGTTGAAGATGTGAAATAATGAGGAGCCATGGGGAAGAGCTCTACATTTTGGATTAATCAACAGTTTTCTCTAGCATTCATTCTTATCCTGGAAGCCAATGGCAGGGCTGCCAGGAGGGTTTAGAATGCAGCTGATGAAATACCTGAGAGCTGCTACCGACCCCCTCCTCACCAGAGCAACTTCACTGTAAGAGATCACACTGTTTTACCTGCTTGTGTTCCAAACACAAAAAAAGATTTTAAAAAGTGGTAAATGTGGCTACAATAGCACTGCTGGGCCTGTAGGAGAGCAAGACTGGACAAGAAAAAAGGCGGAGGGGGGGGAGGTGAATTGGAACCACATTCCATTTGGACGGAACCCACAGGCTCCCCAACACCCACAGCAAACGCTCTCCCATGGGATGACCCTGCTTAGAACCTCCTGAATGAAAGAAGGCTGTAGTGAGCTGGGGTCAGTCTCTTCTGCCATGCCTGCAGTGAGAGGACCAGAGAAAACGCCCTTAACATGAGACATGGGAGACTGAGATGAGACAATAGAAAAAATCTCTGCCACCGTGAGGGTGGGCGGGCACTGGTTGCCCAGGGAGGTGCTGGAGCCCCGATCCCCGCGGCTGCTCCAGAGGGGACGGACTGTGTGTGTGTGGCGCCGGGCGATGCTGCTGAGCGCCGCAGGGGTTGCATTGGCAGTGCTGGGCGGATGGCTGGTGGGAATTGGAAGGCATCTCCCACCAGTGTTGGCGGTTCTGTGACCCCGTGTCCCGGCCCCTGGTTCCGGTGAGGGGACGGCGAGAGGCCGCAGAGCCGCAGGGCCGCCGGGCCTGGGGCAGAGCGGGGGGCGGGGGTCCGGCCGGGCCCGGGGGCGGCGCTGCGGCCACAGCACGTGCGGCGTTCCCGCGGCCCGGCCGGGCGGGAGAGCGAGGCACAGACGCGGGGGGATCGCGGAGGGAAGCGCGCGGCGGCGGCAACGGACGGGACGGGAGGAAAGGGGAGGGGGCGCCCCGGGACACTCACGCTCCCGCAGCCGGTTCTTGAAATTGGGGTCGCTCCGCCTCTTGCGGTCAAAGTAGATGCAGTATCCGATGAAGAGCGCCCCGCAGAGCCCCGCGGCGATGGCGCTGGTCCTGCCCACCATCATGGCGCTGCCGCCGCCCCCGCGCCGCTCCCGCCGCGCGGCCCGCGCCGAGCTCCGCAGGCACCTTGGGGCGAGCGGGCACGGCCAAAGGACCCCTCCTCGCTTCCGCTCACGTCATCAGCCCGCGGCGGCTCAGGGCGCCTCCCGCAGTGCCTGCGCCGAGGCCAGGGCGCACGCGCGGGAGGAGGGGCGTGGCCGAGCGCAGTGAGAGGCCTGGGGCGGGAAACGGGATCCTGGGAAAGGGCCCTGGGATCATCACGTCCAGCCCGTGACCCAACACCAGCAGGTCAGCTAGACTATGGCACTCAGTGCCACGGCCAGGCTTCCCTTAAACACCCCCAGGGATGGTGACTCCACCCCCGCCCTGCCCTGGCCAGCCCATCCCGATGTCTCATCGCCCTTTCTGTGAAGAAATATCTCCTGATGTCCAACCTAAACCTCCCCTGGAACAGCTCGAGGCTACGTCCTCTCATCCTGTCCCTTGCTGCATGGGAGAAGAGACCGGCCCCCACCTGGCTCCTTTCATGTGGCTGCAGAGTGATATGGGCACCCCTGAGCTTCCTTTTCTCCAGGCTAAAAGTCCCCAGCTCCCCCTGATAAGACCTGTGCTCCCAGACCCTTCACCAGCTCCACTGCCCTTCTCTGCACAACAAAAAAGCCCCCCAAATCAAGGCAACGATTTCTATTTCATCACAGACCCAGTCTGAATGTGAGTCAGGTTTTTCTACAGCCATTGTGGGTAATCCTACACAACTCCAAAAAAAAGAATTCACAGCCTCTGCAGCAAGACCTCAGCGGGAGACAGATTCCTGGAACACAGGGATAAAAACATGCAGCACCTCCTGCTGCCTTCTAGAAGCCAAATGCCCCAGAATAAACACCACTAAGGACAACAGCTGTATTAGCAAACAAAATTTATGACACTCTCACATATTAAAAAATATTCACATATACATCCATCTTCATAACACTAGTCAGCATTTTTTCTGGATTTTTTTTTATCAAAGGATTGTTTGTTTTTCCCAGCTTTACTCTTAGGAGTAGTTTTTAGTCTTTTTGGTTTTGTGCTCTTCTTTAATGGGTTTGCTTTTTCACCAACAAAAGAATCGTTAGAGAAGCTCTTTTCTTTTTTCTTCTTCTTATCAGCTCTGTCCTTGGGAGCACGAGACTGGTCTGGACCTTTCTGTTCTTTCTTCTTGTCCGTCACGCGCTGCACTCGTATCTTTCTTCCCATCAGAACAGAGTTGTTGAGTTTCAGAGCAAGATGTACAGCATCTGTGTTCTACAAAATCAGACAGCCACTTTAAATGCAGCTTTACTTCCAGCTGAGTGCTTTCAAACAAAGAGTTACCTGTCTTTAAAACTGGTAAGCAGAATTTTACAGTGCAGAGCACTCACACCACTCTATTTAAGGAATGACACAACATCTCTGCTCGGAACACCAGCACCCCCACACAGCCCACACACTGAGGCACAGACACTTGAAAACAGGCTGTGAAACAGCCTACAATGAGACACCAACGTCTGAGGCAGAGAGAGACAGGGAAAAATTGGGAAAAAAAAGGCATTTCCTGGGCTGCAGGAAATGAACTAAGGGAAAATGAGGCTGGGAGACTGGCATGAGGAAGGAAGTCAGACTGAATCAAAAGTGGAGAGCTGGTATGCAAACCAGCTGCAGGAAAGAAGTCCACTCACATTTTGACACATAAGAAATGGAAGAACATTGAAGTTACACCAAACTAACTCATCTGTCCCTCTGTTCAGTCTTTACCCCAGTGTATACAACACCTTAAATATTGTGTTTTGTATCTGCTTCCACAGAACCAGTCTTCCAAGCTGCTTCCACCTTACACAACAACGCTACAATTTCACTTCCTACCTACACACACACAGACTTCAAAGAATTACTAAAATAAAAATAAAAATAAAAATGCTCCAAGGGCAGATCCCAATGCAGGTTTTGGAGAGCTCCCTGTGCCCTGGAGCATGTACCTCAAAGGCCCACACCTACCCCAGGGGCTCACACACGTAGCCCAAGGGCTCACATACACGTACCCCAGGGGCTCACACACATACCCCAGGGGCTCACACACGTACCCCAGGGGCTCACACACGAACCCCAGGGGCTCACACACACGTACCCCAGGGGCTCACACACGTACCCCAAAGGCTCACACACGTACCCCAGGAGCTCACACACCTACCCCAAAGGCTCACACACGTACCCCAGGGGCTCACACACCTACCCCAAAGTCTCACACACGTACCCCAAAGGCTCACACACGTACCCCAGGGGCTCACACACACGTACCCCAAAGTCTCACACACGTACCCCAAAGGCTCACACACGTACCCCAGGGGCTCACACACGTACCTCAAAGAGGACGTAGCCGAAGCCTTTCCCCAGGCCCGTCATCCTGTCTCTCACCACTCGCACTCCCACGACGTCTCCACAGTCCTGGAAGTGCTCCCGCACGGCGTCATCGCGGATGTCTGCAGGCAACACAACGGAACAGAGGCCCCTTCAGGGAGACACACAGCCTTGGAAGCCTTGGCCCACACCCAGTTATTTCCCATTTACCCATTCAGGGACACAAAGAATACGGAATAAGGAGAGGTAGACAAATATCAGTGGTTCAGAAAAACCCCAGCAAGTTGACAATGCAAACTTTATGAAGGGCTATTTGCTCTGACAGTTACTGCTTCTCCAGCTTGGAATAGTGTGATGTAAATCCTAAAGAATTAAGGCAAAGACTGAAATAGATTTTTCATATTAGTTCATTTATGCTTGGAACACAGTAGAAATTGAGAATTCTGCTATACATTTTTGTAGCTCCTCCTTATGCCAGAATTTCTTTCTAAGAATTAATGCTGATGATAATGAGCTTGAGCTGGCAGTTCTTCAACTCTTCATTGACTGAGCCATGACTTTGAGCTGAATGGGGAAGGAGGGATTTGCAGTTTCCAACCACAGCCTCTACACAATTATTCTGATAATGGCTGGGTGTATGAGCCTTTCTTCTTCTCACGCCTAGGCAGACAAATGTGATGTGCCATCGCAAAAATGCAGGTTATTTTCTTTTTTTGTATGGGTATGCTTCATGGAATCCCCTGACATAGACATAAACATCTCTCTGCTGAGGTTAAACCTGAAATCAACTGTACAGGTTTAACTACAGCAATGGGGCCTCAACATGCTGGGAAAGGTCCAAACTGCTGAAGTAATTTCAGAGCATAGCAAATCACAGAATTTATTCTCAGTTGAAACTGCCCCACAAGGATCATCAAATCTCACTTTTAGCCCCGCCTGGACAGAGTCACTCAGCCTGCAGTTCACAGAAAGCACAAAAAGGAGAAGCCATCACTATCCATCACTGGAATTGGTTCACCAACAGGTACTGGTAACCCTTGAACAGTTTATAGAGCCATGGCCTATAGAACTTAGTCATATTTATTTAAAAAACATGAAGCAACAACAAGAACTAAAAGCACTTGTAGTGCTGCCTACAATAAAGGAAACAATCAAGGTGCAGAACTGGACAGAAACTTACAACCTCTTCAGGTGTTCCAATTAACAAATAAAAATTACCTCCAGCGAAAAGTATTTATCCACCTAATACCAAGAAATAAAAAGCCTCACGTCAACCATTCCACAAATGCAAATTAATGATGCATAACAGTCCATTTCAGGCTTACCATATGAAAGATTTCCCAAGAATACAGATCGTTTACTGTCGTGCTAAAGGAAACAAGAGAGATGGGACAGTAAGTTATTTGTTACAGAAAATAATGAAAACCCCATAACCAAACCAGAAAAGGGAATTTCTAGCCACACATGTTACTTACCGAACTGGTCTTAGATGCAGTGTCAACTCTGATGTGAAATCCACTAGCAATTTCTGTTCCATTCCTTTTGTGGTCAAAAACAAAAGGTTTTAAAAATGAAATAAACATTACTTAATTGACAATGTCACTGCATAGCAGTATTCCAAAAGCAAA